CTCTTTTGTCATCAGGGTTAGAGCTTCGCCTGGCGCGCGCTGCAGCCAGAAGAGTAAGGATTAGGGTTGGGAGGAAGGGAGGGGGAAAGAAAGGGCCTGAACTCGTGGCAGGGAAGGGAGAAGGGAGGCTGGCTCAGGGGGTGGAAGGGAGAGAGCAGGGGCCTGGGTTGGCATGGAAAGGAAGAATAGGGGCCTGGGTTAGCATGGCAGGGCAGGGAGAAGGGGCCTGGGTTGGCATGGAAAGGAGGAAGAATAGGGGCCTCAGTTGGCATGGCGGGGGAGGGAGAAGGGGCCTGGGTTGGCATGGCCACAGCCCAGCCCTCCCTCGTGGCCAGGGTTGCCTATCCCACACGAAAAGAGGGTTGGCGAGCTTGGTGAGCAGAGGGCACAGCCCCCTAGTATTCAGAAATATTGAAGATTGACTTCAAGGGACATTACAAAATATTGAAAATAGGAAGGAAGGTGGTTTGAAAGACAGTGAACAGGAGAAGGCAATCTCTGTATTAAAGCGTGGCCCAAAATATAAAAAGTTGGACAAGTCCTGACAGAATTGGAACATTCTTAAAACAAAGGAAGAGATGAATTCTTCTACATCATTCAAATTGTTTTAATAAAGGGAAAAAGCTTCCTTTGGTTTTTTTGGAAATCAGGTTGTCATGATCTTTAAAGTCAAATTTATGTTTTTATTTAATACAATAAAGTTTTAATTTAAGGAACACTTAAAATTCCTTTCAATGATATATTTGCAATCATGCAGTGGGCTAAAAAGAAATCTCATATCAACAGAAAGGAAACAAATACAAATGTACTACAGGATTTATGTTCTTAGCATGTGAACCAATGTAAAAAAATCATGTAATTTTCTATTATTTTGTTCCTTTATTAATAACTAATTTGCCACAAACTGTAACAAATCAATATAACAACACAGCATTAAGCCAAAACAATTAAGTATAGAATAGGTCAACTACTTTCACTGATCAAATGCAAACAATCCTAACAATCTAATTATGATTAGACAGTAATAGACTGAAGCATAGTTTTTGTCACCAGGCCACGTGTTGTCCTCATCTTTATTTTGATTACAGATGCCAAAATATGCAACTTAAGTTATATTCTGCTATACTTCAAACTTCACCCACAATCCAGGAGCACGTACAAACATGCCAATTTGTCCTCAACTGCCCATCAAACATATGGCAATACACTTAAAAACAGTTTTGACTTTGGTACCAGAAAGAGCTTGAATAAAGTTGCACTAAACAGAGATTAGAGTGATTATGGAAAGAAATGATGTAGAAGAACTATTGAGTTCTTAACTGTATAGATTTGTTTAAAATCATATTAGTCTAGAAAGTATATTATACAGTAGAAAGAAAAACCTTCTTATGTCAAGTTTAATCCTATTTTTAATAAATATATTTCAAAATTAATTTTTAAAACTTTCTTAAACAGGATATAAATGTTTTTATGCAAATAAAATATAGTTTGTACAAAATAGCTAGTATATATGGGCTGCTGGGGCCTGCATGTCATAGAATGCTGGATATTTTTTATTTGTACCTATATCTATATGATATTAAAAGTTCTCTTTTATTAAGTCTGCTCTACTGTGAAAGCGACATTTGAAAAGAGAAGCCATGGCTATCGTGTTCTTAAAAGTTATAGCTATATAAAACTTCCTATAAAACATTATTTATAAGCAAGTTCTCATAAGCATAATGCAAGATTGGTGCTAAAGCAAATGCTGCCAACTTTAAAAAACTACTCATCTCAGATGAGTAAGCTTTCCCTAACAAATCGGAGGACCTATAGCATTATTCTACAGAACATAAGTCTTTAAAACAAATTATGGCCCTTATAATCATAAGGACAACATTCTAGATTTGAATAAAAAGTAAACCAATTAAATGCCACAAAAATGGAGGCTGTGGAAAGAACAGAGACTTCTACTCAGCGTTGTGAGTACTGTGTAGAGCAGGAGGTGGGCAATAATTTTAGATGGGGGGGGGGCCACTTCACTAATTTTTGAAGTGGTACTGGGCTGCCCCAGAAGAGGCGGGGCCAGGATACCTCCATGCTCCCCCTCCCACATACCCTGACTGGCCTGAAGGCGAGGGAGCACGTGCAGTTTTTGCCCCCATCTGAGCCCCTAGAGAAAACTGCCAGCTGTTCTGAAGAGCTGGCAGTTTCTTCTAGGCCAAGGGTGGCCAACCCATGGCTCGCAAGCTGCATGCGGCTCTTCCCTCCCAAAAGTGTGGCGCGTAAAGCCTCCCTTGCGGCTCACGTAGCCCCTCCAAATGGCCCCTGGCTTCCTGTGCTCACCGAGGCAGGGGAGCTGTCCAGCGGCGATTCAAAATGGCATCTGCAAGATGGCTTCGGCTGGCAGGAGCCTGATGCTGCCAAAAAGCCTAAGCCTGTGTTTTTTAAAGGGGCAGCATCTTTTTTTGGTTTGTTTTTTGCTCAACAATTCTGGTGCAGCTCTTCTCATTTTTTCCACCGCTGTTTAAGCTCTCTTTGTTTAGTGGGTTGGCCACCCCTGCTCTAGGCACCTGTCCGGTTACAGGGCAGGAGAAGACTTCACCAGCTCCCCTCACCTCCAGGCCAATCAGGGCCCAGAGGCAGGAGGAGGGATCCAAGTCTCTCGCTCCCTGTCCCCACCCTGCAATTTAAAGTGCTGCGCGCCCTTGACAGGTTGGAGGAAACCTCATGCACTCCCTACCCGAGCCCTGCAAGGAGCACATGGCACTTTCACTCTAAGCGCCACATGCCCCTTGCAGGGCAGGAGGAGACATCACACACTCCCCTGCCCCCAGGCCAATCAGAGCCCGGGGGCGGGAGGAGCACGCAAAGTCTTCAAATTCTTACTAACCAGATGCTCATACAAAATAGATACTCTGGGCAGACGGGGAAGGAACTCTGACAGAAATCAAAGCATCTTCCCATTGTCCAGCAGGTGGAATGGACAGACTAGATCTCTCAATAGAGCTTTGTCCTTAGGCATCAATGATAAAGATCCTTCTTCCATACTTAACTCTGTAGTACATTTGGTGTTCTAGATAAGTGTCTGGTAAATTTTTCAGATTTTGCAAATGTTTAATATCAGAAAATCTATTTAAGCTTAATTAGTCCTTAATAATTACACTATTTGAAATAATTATAATACTTAAAGAAATATACATTTTATACATTACCGAGGCAAAATAATTAACTTCATTTTTAATTACAGCAAAAGAGAACTCAGAATGGTGACAATTACAGTACTGTACTAAATTACTACTACACCCACTTGAAATAGAAACACACTGAAGGATCATATTAAAAAAAAAAATATTCCTATCTGAGTCCTAGTCTGCTACTACTTACCCCAAACATAGTTGCACCATTCAATAGAATGAAAGAATGTATTGTGCAAGGGTTGCAAGATACAGCCCAAGATTGGGCCCAAAAATATTTCCTTTCAAAACTACTTATTTTATAAATCTTGGAAGCAACAAAATGAAAAGCCTTCATGTGTAGCAGGATCCAACTTGCTCCAAGTCATACTGACAAGACAGAATCTGGACTCCCACTGAAATCAAATGGAGTTTTGACATTCATTTGATGGGGGCCAGGATTTCCTCAGATATCTGCAGCAGAACCAAGATGACCTTGGTCTCCATGCTCTCTATCTTGTACTTTGTGAAAATAGCAAACATCTTAGCATATACTTTTCTACATAATAAAATATGTAAAACAATTTTTTCCCCACTTCAAGAGCTTAAACACATCAGAAGCAAAAACTTGGAAAAGTGAATAATAAACAAGATTAAACTAACACTACTAGAAAAAACACAAACAAAAAAAGTGTGCTATCAAAAGCTTGCCAACTGAATATCTACCTGGAACTAAATAATAAACCAGAATTCTACCAGCTAACATAAGTTTCTCAATAACTGATATGCTCCATAAATCCTGGCTTAAATAAGTGTTACATGTGCAGAAATGCCAGGAGTTATGTGGACATTCAGAACTATAACAAGGCATGTCGCAATTCTAGCAAAGAAGAACTGTCAAGGGAGTAATGGGTAACCAGAGATGAAACATAACAGGGATGAAACAGGACAAGAGTAGGACCACATGCAAAACCCTGTTTATATTAAAGCAATAGGGACTACTGTAGATTTGGAATGCTTGGGACTACAGACTATTATTTTCTTTACTATCCAATAGTAGTCACAACGTGAAAGGCACTTTTCAAATATGAGGGAAAGTGTGTTTCAGGTACAGCCATCCACAGCAGTATAGTTAGAGGGGAGGTCATTTCTGCAGTAACTAGGACCTCTGTCCAGTCTATTGAGACTTTTCTCCCTCACCCATCACAATCATGATAACGACACACAACCTATAAACTAGAAGTAGAGGGGGTGCCCTCAGAGGCATCACAGTGGAAACATGCAAGGAGCGCATGAATCCAGGAATGAAGGACAAAGTGGGGTCACCACCTGAAAGAACAAAGCAGTGCTGGGAGCCAGGTCAACACAGGGGAAGAGCATTACTGCAGGTTCTGATTTCCAGCAGCGACCAGAGCACGTAGGCAGTTTGTAGAGACAAAAGAGGTGTTTGGGGTGCGTAGGGCACTGCTCAGGGAATGGCCCGAGATGCTACAGGGCAGGGGGGCATGGTAAGAGCCCAGCAGGTCTGGTTTGTCCGAGCACAATGGGAGGTGCTGGGGCAGGCAGGGCTGTCTGAGAAAGTTATCGGGGCAAGGCGGTGGGGCAGGCAGCAGGAGATGCTGGGGGCGGGGAGGAAACCAGCCAATAAGCCACAGGGATACGGGGGGGCAGCACAGGGAGAGCAGGTGAGCACATATGCGGAGCCACAACGGTTGCCACACAGGCCCAGCGGGCGCTGGTCCGATCGCCTGGGGCGCCCAGCCCGCCCCCGTGAGCTCGGAATCAAGTCGGGTAGGAGGAGGCTGGTCCCAGGGTCCCCGCCCCCCGAACCCCAGTTACCATTACCCAGCAAGCCCAGCGCCGCGCCGCCATCCTGCTGCCGGCCATCTCCCACGGGAAATGCACAGCCTCGCGAGAACTCCCTCACTCCCCTTTCCCTCCTCGTCTCATGCGGGCCCCTCCCCCACCACAGCTGCGCTGGGAATCAACATGGCGGGGGGGCC